TCTCTCTTGCCTAGAGAACTGGAAATAGCATGATTAGTCTCACAACGAAGTGCTAATAGCTAAAATATTGCCTTATCTACCACATTTAATAATTTCACGTAAAACCGCCACCGATTTCTTCAATTGGCGTAACCCTTGTCTTGTTACCGTGGGGGTCAACGTATTAGTTTTATTGTTGATGTTATAAATTGATTGAAGTTTGTCATGCTTGTTTTACCATTAAGTTTCTCAAATATATCGGATCTGAAGAAGCGTTTTGGTAGTTTGTCAATATCCTCCGATGTTCTCTCTTCGGGCTTGTCGTCTGATATAATTGACTTCATGTCCGCGTTTGAGCCCAAATGAGAAGTATTTGATGAAGTATAGCAATAGGCGGTGTGCATGGCATCCTCACGTACCGCGGACGCTACGCTCGTAGCCGACCATGCGACCAGCGCGAGAACAGCCAGCATCGTCGTGGTCTACGCTTGACTCAAGTGCACAGTGATCTACCAGGAAAAATGTAAAGTGGGGAGGCTGTTTGTGACCTCGATTGGCTGCAGGAGCCTTGAACAATTTAAAGGGTAAATCGCCTGGCTTTTCTTCACTAAAGGTTTTCTATTTCTAGCTGTACCGCGAAAGTATCTCAAGGGATCGAACATCGCGAACCGTATCATTATCGTCAATACGTAGGACAACAAGCAGTTCGAGTATAATTAACACGCGCCAAGGCAATAAAAATGACGACGTCGGCAGCTTTAAAGTGCCGCATTTCGGTGTGCTAAAGTCTGCGGACGACGACGAGCGTGTAAGCAAATGTTGTGACCGTTGTAAGCGCTGCACGAAACGCTGCATAAAACGCTACACGGAGCGCTAAAGAAATCTGGCTGCACGACAAAGCTTTTTCTTTTCCCGTAGCTCTCGTGATTTGGAGGTCCATATATAGAATTAGAACCATACGTTTCGTGAAGTTTACCAACTTGAGCCTTTATGCCCTTCATACGTCCAGTGTAGAACATACGATCGCTCCTACTGGAAGTAGCTCCCTTACTAAGGATAACATTGCCATGCACATAGCATGCCAAAACTGTGGCTGTGGATTTCTTTCTGCCCCTGTACTATCCAATTTACACATAGACAAAAAATATAAACGTCCTGCCGATCTGGCTCTCATCAGCTCGAACACCGGACCATAAAGCTAATATGATTGAGATAACTCGACGTGCTGTTCATTAGGCCTTCTATTCAAAGTTGTAATTATAATTCTGATTCATGATTCATTAAGCAGATAACTTATTACTTATTGGCAAGAGCAGAGCGCAGACACAGCAGTTGCTGTCCAAATAAACCCAGCACTACAACGAGCTCATCTCGAACCCGTCACCGATGCTTTTGCCGCCACCCAGACGGTTACCAGGACATTTTTCGCGTCTTGAACACGTGGGATAAGCGCCAGGTGGGAATCGAAACAACCACCCACGACGGCTTGGTGACACGCACTCGCAATTTATGCCATCACTCCCTACCTTCTCTAAAATGCTTCTCGGCCTGCACCTATACACCCATCCTACCTACACATACCCAAAACCAACCATGGACAACCAGCCACAGAAAAATAATACTCCTTAAAGAGTGCCAATCACCTGGGCAGTGAAGAAAACGCAAGCAGGCATTGAGGTTGGCAGTGCAGTCAGCTCCAAAAGGAGGCAGAAACCAACCCCATCTGGGATCATGTGGAGATCGTGAAGGAGGAGAGAATATGTAGTCCTGGAAAAGACTTACAAATGTCTTGTCATGAAAAACTGTGTGAAGAAGTTCGTGATGAGAGGAGGTACTGGTCAAAGCAATATCAACAGGTACCTCCGTCAAGAGCATAAGATCAGAAGTGAGGGCATTATCCGGTCTGCTGGCACCATACCCCTATCTTTTTTTCTTTAAAAGGCCTAGAAAGGATCAATTGGTAAGTTAATATCTTAAAGAATACAGGGTGACGCGTTACGTCACGCTGTATCGTGTGTAAAGCACTCATCTGTATGTCTGAGTAGACGTTGACACGAAATAATTTCAAGGCTGCCATGCTGCAAGTAACTGATGACTTGTTTTTGGCTTTTGAGACAGTCAAAAATTACCTTTTATCAGTCTGTTGTCCCTGTCCAGCAATGGTAAAACTCTAAATCTCATGGTAGAGGCAGACGCTATGCGAGATTGGGTCGTTCAACTGCATTGGCCAATTTAAAGCACTGGACAGAAAAGGCTATAAGAAAGTATAGGACGTCCACCATATTCACTTCACGACTGATTTCTGGAGCACTTCAGCAAGGAGGAATGCCAATATGATCCTGACAGGCCACTGGATCAGTCTAGAATCGAAACGGATAGAAATAACTTCGCTTCGGAATTAAATTACAGGTGAGCAAGATGTCAAGCTGATTGTCTTATATTTTTGACAGACTAAACATTTGTTGACATATAGGTGACCACAGTGGTTAAATTTTAGAGGTGGTTTACTTTGAGATGATGGAAAAGCTGGGATTTTTGCAAGTCCACAGAAACATCACCGTGGACAATGGAAGCAGCAATTTAACCATGTTTCAGGTATTTGTCAAACGACCACATCACTAATCTAGTGTCTCGAAATGGCATTTTTGCATTTGGCGGACCTACTTATTGGACTTTAGCAGAGTTAAAGATCGAAAAGTAGGAAGCAGCGAAGAAAAAACCAATGATTTATGTTTGCTTTTGTCATAAAAACTGTTGGATAAAAAAACGACAAAAATGTCGTTTACTAATATATTGTCTGTAGAATTCTTGCATATATAAAAGATCTTGATGAGGCCAGAGCCAATGTCTAGTTTCTTTACAAAAGAATCAAGGATTTGGCAGCAACTATGGCTCCAGTCCCCCGAGGAAAGCACCTTTTCGATCAATGGTCTCGTAGCGCCAAGGAACGTCGGCTCCAAACACATCGATTCAAGAGGTGGCGTCAAGATGAACCTTTACTTTTGCAATGTACGAAAGAGCTTTGTCTTTGAAGTAATTACATACTTTTAAGCATCTCATGTTTTTTCAGCTTTCTAACTATTTGTGTTCAGGCCCAGTATGAAACAGTTGACAGAGATGTCCGACTTTATGAAGTTTTTTTTTGAACGATGTAGAACGGGCGTGTTGGAAATGTGAATTTCTTGAGCCGTTCAATGCTGCAACAGAGCTTCTGTCCGGCGAGACATATCCCACCCTCGGAATTTAGCTTCCGGTGTACTCCCTCTGAATAGGAAATTGCAGCAGGTGAGTCATGTTGTGTCTTAATGTCAAATTGGTTTTGTCGCCAAGACATCCATCTGATTCGTTTTCTAGGCGAAGCACGAATATGATACTGCTCAGCTGCATCCAGTTGCCGCAAAGATGCTGGAGAAGCTTTGAAAATCTGATCATTCGGCAGTGAAACTGAAATCCAAATTCTGCCACCGTTCTGGATCCAGGAATTTACTCAGAATGAGCACGAATGTTCTTCAACTGGTCGGCTGAAATTCAAATTGACGGACACAGCATCGCCTTTATTAAGAACCTGTTTCCCTTGTAGGTTTCAGTGTTCTAAAAGATTCAAGAAGAGGGACTAGCTCCGTGGGAACAATTAACTGGCGATCAGGTGGCTACTCTTTAGGAGGAAATCTTCAGCTAGGGAAGACAAATGAAGGAGGAATCATCGTCTTCAGAAGATGTGGAGGAGGTCAACGGGTACTGGACTCAAACAATTTGTTTCATTGACAACCGATCCTCTGGCATGGTGAAAAATGATCATCATCAATTTTCTACTCTTGCCAGGATAACCAGGAGCATCTTGGTCATTCCTGTGTTTAAAAGGAGATTATTCCTCCAGGAGGAGAGTCGTGAGGTGGCACAGGAGCTCATTGTCTACTAGGTCAACTGAGGCATTGCATCCATCCAAAAACACAAGGCTTCCTTTGGATGGAATAATCCTTTTAAAGCGTTCTTAACTAGTTCTGAATACATAATTGTTTTTGTTGGGAGTAAGAATGTGGTAACCAAGCGGCTATCATTGTGGTGAGTGATATCAGGAGCAAGTTCGTCTAATCCAAAAGTTGTTTATTATAAATTAATCATTCAGTTGACGAACTGTATATTTGATCTAATATTTATGAATTTGAATCATTTCTGGAAAAAAATCTGAGTGATAAATTATACCTGATTCATTATTTAAATGATTCAAATACTGCTTTGTTAAGTTAGTAAGATCATTCAGATTCTTACGGTGCGCTTTGTCAACAAATGCTGCAGCATTTATTCTGAGCCAGGATCAAACTCGATTTAAATGACTCAGCCCTGCGACATATTAGATGTTTAGGGAGGGGACAATTTATAGAGTAGATGCAGATAATCGTGTAAGCTCATTAAATGGTGGTTGCTAAAATTTGCACAAGTCTTGTACATGTTTATCGGCTATTTTAATGCATTGTAGCTACCGCTGGCATGTCAAAGTGAGCGCTGGCGGGATAGTAACCACATCCAAACGGATCCTATCGGTCGCTCTTTGCGCCACCGATGTCTGAGATATGTCTCAGAGTCGAGTACGTCGACAGCGTTAGCGTCAACTTTATGTACGCATTTGAGTCGCTGACCGTGTGACCACGCAGAGACAAGTCTTACGCTCGTACGCTGCACAGTATTGACAAGCGCCAGCCTCTGCGTTGTCTAAATTTCCTGATGTTTAAAGATTTAGCAGTGGCGCTTATAGTAGCCAAGGCGCTTTGGAGCGCGCTCAAGAACAAGATGGGATATTGGTATATCCGCACGTCACGTAAAGGCTGGTATTATTAATAAAACGTGCCGGTTGGAGGATATTATGATACAGCATTCATGAATGGAATCAAATCATGGAAGGATTTGGGTGTGTGCAATTGTAGCCATGTTCAGGAAGACCATCATTCTGCCATATCTTACCTTCATTCTGCAATTATCTCTCCATTATTCAGCAATCGTTTTCCATCCCATACAAATTTCAAATGAAAGTCAAACCACAACTGGACGAAGCCATCGCGTACTTACAAGCGGAAATTGCAGCACTTTGTGCGGAAGATAAGGATGAGAATATACTAAAACTTGCAGTAGCTGTTGCTGCAGGGAGCGCACCTCTTCCAGAGGCTCAATTTGGTCCACTTTTAGCTGTTTGGACCCCTAAAACATCGTCCATTGCGTCGGATTTAGCGGCACTTGTGGATCAATTTAAAGCGTCAAAACGACGAGAAGAAGAAAAAAAGAATTAGGACGCGGGAAAGAAGAAGATCGAGATGTTAAGACGGTCGTGGATCCAGCAATTGAACGAGTGAGAGAAGAGAGAAGACGACCGAGGACGAGACCTCGAAGAAGATTTGAAGATTTCGACAAACGTGACGCATCACCATCAGCAAGTGATGACACACTGACGTCATCTCCTAGAACAGTTGGTATTGCTACTGATGGAACGGAGACAATGAAGGAGAAGAAGATGATGGAAGAGGTAAAGGATATTCAGATGGAAGACAAAGAGAAAAATGAAGAGAAGAAGGATAAAGAGACGGAAGAAAATACAGAGAATGAAGAAAACAAGATGGAGGTGAAAGAGAAGAAGATGGAGATTAAGGAGAAAAATATTGTGCAGGTTGTTGTGGAGAAAGAAGAGAGTGTGAAGAAAAAAGAGGTGAAAAAGAACGAGGTGAAGAAGAATGAGGTGAAGAAGAATGAGGTGAAGAAGAACGTGGTGAAGAAGAATGAGGCGAAGACGGACGAGGTGGAGACACCAATGGCGAGTTTGAAGGCGTTACGGAAGAGTATGTTGCTGGATGTATTGTCAAAGATTGTGTCGGTAGCAAAGAGCAAAGATGTGGATCCAGCCATGTTTACACTGACAAATGGAGAAAATCAGGCTGGAAAAGATCAAGTGGATTTGACTAAGATAAAGGATCGAGTTGTTGACGGCGTGATGTGTGAGTGGACGCAGTTTTCAGAACAGGTTTATCTCTTTTGTCAGCATGTGGTGATGGATGCAGAGCAGCGCGAGCAGCCTGAAGCGAGACGAAAGGGTATGGAATTGCTGCACTTTGCGAGGACGCTTACTGAGACGCTGCGTAAAGTTAGTATGACGAAAGAGGCCACGTTAATGCAAAAGATTCGGGAAGCGAAAACGGAAGCTGCGGCTCGTAAAGAAGAGAAAGAGGCTGCTTGCAATGAGAAAGCAATAAAAAATGACACGGTAGAAGAGAGTACCGCAGACGAGAACCATGATCAAGCAATGAAGGCCACTGCTTTTGATTCGCACGCGTTAAGTAGTAAGACAGCCAACGACGAATCTCTCGACTCTAAATCTCCGCGCGCGTCAACGCTAATCCGAAAACACACGAGTATTGCCAGTGATGGCACTGGTTCTGCAGCTCGCTCTCCTTCTTCGTCCAGTTCTCGAAAACGCATGCGCATGACACCTGTATCTGCTGCGTCCGCGAGCGAGGAAGTGAGTGGCTCGGAAAGTCATGACGCCTCTGCTTCTGAAGCAGACACGAAGTTGCATGAACAAAGTAAAACGACCAAGTCTCCAGCAAATCGTACACCGGCACGCAGGTGTCGACCCTTATTGCCAGCAACACGTATCAGCTCGCGTCAACAGAAACGACGAGCTGCTGCTGCTGCAGCAGCGGCGGCTGCCGATAGTACTGGTAGTGGTAACGAAGAAGAGCATAGCGGTAGTGAGGCTCTTACCTCGGTGGCGGAAAAAGAAGGTGACGATGCTAATGAGAAGAATGAAAAGGCGAGAAAAGTTGAGCAGGAGGAAGCACAACCGATTTCGAAGAAGAAAAAAGTAGCACCGAAAACGAGGTCTAGAAAAAAAGGTTGGCGCAAGCGATAAGCAATGTACAATAAGTCATTCATCAGCAAGGTTTGAGACATCCTTCGTCAAGTTTCTCCTACTTAAAGTCACTTTTGACATAGCAAAACTATATCACGTCTTCTCGAACTGCGAATAAAGTAGTTTACATCCGTGATGGTTGCAAAGGGCTCCACCCGCTGTAGATACTTTCCACAACTCTTCTAAAAGCCGAAGCTCCTAAACGGACGTCACGCACGTCCACAATGTGGAAGTGATTTGCCTCGATGTGATTATCAAAAAAGACAGCGATTTTGCCGTTCATCACTGCCTTGCCTTCTCTAGGCCCCTTCCTCCGCAAGATTGTTGGAGAACGGTACCATGTCGAGCGTGTCCAAAGCTAAAGCCGTGCCATCAGCTTTAATCCATCACAGTAGAACGTAGCAACACAACGAGCACTTGGTTCTAACTTGAGACGGAAATGGTCCCAGTAGTGCTGGACGTCCGATCGACGGATAGTGACCATTTACAACGAGATCCAATTCTCAAGCAACCTCTACAATATCGTCACCCCAAAAGTACGAACACAAGTTTCACATGGGCTTCTTTAGCGTCACTTTGGGAGACGTTAAGTAAGATAAAAATTGCAACAATGATGGCAATAAAAAGTACCGTCCTTGACTTCACGCTTCATGTAGTCGAGACTCGGGCATCGTTGCAGTCAATTGCTTGGCAGTTTTACGTTGTTTTCTTTGAGGAAAATAAAGCTCTTGCATCATGTCTTGACATGATGGTAGGACACGAGAACCAAAAGCATTGTCTTCGCCTGTAAATGCCGAATATAAAGCCGTATACTTTTGTTTGGCTACTTTGTTCACCGATTTAATCGGATCAATGTCACTGTCGTTAGCAGTCGCTATAATTTGATATATATGAGCATGATCCACATACTTTTTGTATGAAATCAGCGATAGTATTAGTACTTGGAGGTTCAATTGAGGAAGTGTCTGAAACACAAACATACTCGAATGGAGTGAACGGGTTGACGTAATACCATGTGCATTCTAAAAGTAAAGAAGTCACCGTATTGTCCATGATTCGATCACCAGCAGCATCCGCCATGAAGACAGTACGATTCGAGTCACAGTGCAGCACCACATTGCGTCATTTAGTAGTCGCTATGACAATTGTAGACAATGTTATGAATGGCTGGAGTTTTGTTTAAACAAAATTGAAATATCATATGATCAATTTTACTACCGTTAATTTGTCGAAGAGAACATATATTATTAAATTACATAAATGTTATGTTGCCAGGTCAAAGGAGTGATTGATGCTGGCTACTTTAATTTGTCCTTTTTTTAAAAAGTGGAATAATAAATAAAAATAAAAAAACAGAAACATCTCAAGTCGATTACTGCTTCTATTGTAATTGGCTAAAATCAAATATTGGTATTATGATTGGCTGAAAAGCTTCTTTGTTGTAACCACTCGAACATTCAGTCGAGGATTTAACACCAAGCAAGGAAGATGCCAAAGAACAAGGGAAAAGGAGGCAAGAATCGTCGTCGTGGAAAAAACGATAACGATGAGAATAAACGCGAGCTTGAGTTTAAAGAGGAAGGCCAAGGTACGTCTTTATCTCTTAGATGTATACACTTTCGTTTTGTATACAATTATGGTCTGATGTATACAGTGTATACTTTGTTCATTACTGTACATAGAATATGCGCAAGTGGTGCGAATGCTCGGCAATGGTCGTCTAGAAGCCTATTGCTTTGATGGCGTGACGCGTCTGGGTCATATTCGTGGCAAGATGCGCAAGAAAGTGTGGGTCGGTGCAGGTGACATCATTCTCGTGAGTCTACGCGAGTATCAGGACGGCAAAGTGGACATTATTCATAAATACAATGCCGATGAGGCCCGTAGCTTGAAGGCCTATGGTGAGCTTCCGGACAATGCACGTATCAATGAAACGGCTGTGGACATGGCGATGGAAGGAGACGGCGAGGACGATATTGGTTTCGACTTTGACGACATCTAATTTGACAACAGACTGCAAGTGACGTGGCTGTTGTGCAACATCCAGCTCCATTGATAGATTGAGAGAGCTAGTGATTGTGTCTTTTGGAAATCTATTGACCAGTTGCTGGTAGTAGGATAACTAGGTGGAGCAAATAGGAAGAGAAATGCGCTTGATCGGACGCGCAGATAGAGCGAAAGGACCGACGGCAATGCGATGTATTCATTTGATGGCTTGGAAGTGGTTGATTATCTACTGCAGAATGAATCATCAGGTGTGCATTTTGTGGGTGTTTTGTGTGTTATTAGATACTTGGCGACTGGATGATTGCTCCAAATAGACAATTTGCAAGTGAGAGGATCTTTTCATGAGGGATTAAGTGCAGTAAGAATGGAGTGAGGTCATGCACTGATAGAATGAAAGCGTATCAGGCACCACCCTCCCGTGTGACGTGACGATGCTTTTCTGTGTGAACATGGCGAGGTGGTCTAGTGATACATTCGTGCCACCTGGACTTGAGGTCTCGACGTCTTTTTGGATCACTAATGTGGCACTGTGTGGCGAATGTAGACTGCCGACAGGTCCTAAACCGTTTTCGTATATTTTGCGTACAGTATCGCATGTAATTGATAGACACAAATTTGTCAAGTAGTGACTATTTCGCAAAGTCCTATATGGTACAATTCCAAAAGGTGTTTACAAAAGTAGCCAGAAACCGTGTATCACACACCATTAACCTTTGCAATGGCATCTCAAAAGATCGTGCAACTTAACTTCTTGGTTTTTTTCCACTCCCTCTCCATTCCATACAAAAACGAAAAGGATCCAAGTGATGACGAAACAGGACGTAGATGAAGGTTTGTATCTCAAGCCAGGGGAAGTAGACGCTGGTACTTCAATTATTGCTGTACGTTTTAAAGGTGGCGTCGTGTTAGGCGCTGATTCTCGTACATCTACGGGCACATATGTGGCAAATCGTGTGAGTGACAAACTTACGCCTCTTCACGATCGAATTTACTGTTGTCGTTCGGGTTCTGCAGCCGATACGCAAGCATTAAGTGACTATGTGAGTTACTATTTAAGCTCTCATAGTGTTGAGCTTGGTCGTCTTCCTAAAGTTGGTACTGCTTCGAATCTATTTCGTTCGTTGTGTTACTCGAACAAAGATCGTCTCTTAGCGGGAATTATCGTGGCTGGATGGGACCCTATAAAGGGAGGTCAAGTGTTTTCAATTCCTATTGGTGGAGCAATGGTCGAACAGGATTTTGCCATTGGTGGAAGTGGTTCAACGTACATTTACGGCCTTGTGGATGCCGAATACAGGTGAGAAGAAGAAGAAGAAGAAGAGAGAGAGAGAGAGAGAGAGAGAGAGAGAGAGAGAGAGAGAGAGAGAGAGAGAGAGAGAGAGAGAGAGAGAGAAGAGACTAATGTGTATTACCCTTTGTGTGAGTATTATAGGCCGGACATGACCAAGGACGAGTGTCAGAAGTTTGTCAAGAAGGCACTGGCTCATGCAATGGCACGTGATGGAAGCTCGGGTGGAGTCATTCGAACGGTCACGATCACAGAAAACGAAGTCGTGCGGGACTTTACGAGTGGTGACGAGCTTCCGTTCTCGATCTAGAGGGACATATGTGATCAGAAAGACACAACGAGAGACACTAAAAGCTCGGGGTCATGGCCAGATGAGGACCAATTAACGAAAGGAACAAAGGTGCTACTGCGTTACCCACTATCTTTTACTATCGTGATCTCTTCCTCTCTCTCTCTCTTGACTGCAGTTTGTCGGAACTGCGACCATTCTTCCATACATAGGCTTGTCTCCTTGGATTCTGTCTTTGCTTAGACGAAGAGGTTATCCATGGCAGCGGCACCGCCTCGTGCCTTTTGTCGTTCAATTTCGGCAGCACCAGTGAGATCTTTCATCGTGATGACACGTGTGCTCTCTTCCCGCAGAGCTGCGCTGGCAGCAGCACGGAATACAGCGTCGCTAATTGCCGTGCTGCTTAGATCGTAGCGATCAGCTAGACGCTGGAAATCAATGGGCTTTTTCGTGTCTAGCGGTGCCTTGGGAGGAAAACACGCGCGCCACAGCTTCTCACGAAGCTTGGCGTTTGGATTACGCATCTCGACGACAAACTTGAGACGGCGACAGAACTCCGACTGGATCAGTGACGCGGACGTCGATCTGTCCACGTTGGCTAGCAAAATGGTGGTGCTAGGGAACGTGTTCATCAGCTCAAGAAGTCGCATGACCTCCATGCGGAAGCGAGGCGACGCCTCTAGATTATCGATCGGGATGACGCCTCCTTCAATGTGGCTGCCAAAGGACTCGAACCCAGTGAGCACCAGAACTGCATCCATTAGACGGGCATCATCAAATACAGCCCGCAGTGCCTTTCGAGTCTCAGCGGCCGAGTCAGCTGCCAGCTGACAAAAGTTGACCACCTTCAGCGGGCGACCGATCTCAAAACCAATACTCTTGGCAGCATTCAGCTTACCGATGCCTGCTGGGCCACAGATCAGCACACTCACACCCTTCTGCTGTTTGTTCGATTGACCAAAGTCAAACCCCCACTGCCCGTAAATGACACTGCGCGCTTTCTCGAACTGCACAACCTGGCGCAATTTTTCCTTTACTGATTCCTCGACAATAAGCTCATCCAATCCGCTTGTGGGCACAACACGGTGATCAAATGTCTTCATATGCAGGCTACCGCGCATCTGCAGAGCACAACCTGCCACAATGTCAGCTTGCGAGATCACAGGTGACTCGCTATCTCGTGATATGGCCTTCAGGAGGGCAGACAGGATGGCATTCTTGATAAAGCCGCCACTGAGCTCATACTTCAGAGCTATGGTGTCCCAATCAATACCGGGCTCAACTTGCATAGCCCCCCGTATCAAAAGCACATCCCAAATCTTGCGCCGCTGAATATGGTCCGGTGCCTTGAACTCGAAAACAGCAGTGATGCGACGATGCATGGCCTCATCGAGATCGAATGGTCGGTTCGTCGCAAGAAACACGATGCCTTCATACCGCTCAATCTCAGTAAGAAGAGCATTCAGCAGTCGATCCCCTCCACCGTCACGCTGACGAAAGATGTTCTCGCACTCATCAAAGAAAAGCACAGCATTACTCATGTCAGCTTCACGAAACAGACCACGCAAGTCCGCATCCGGCTCCGCGCCTTCCTGGCGCTTTCCCTGCAGCGATGGAAAGTCCACCAAGAGCACACGCTTCTTGAGATGGTGCGCGACAGCGTTTACTGTCATAGTCTTACCGGTACCACTCGCACCACAGAGCAACAACACCAGACCAGCACCATACACCATCCCTGCTTGCTCCAGTCCACTCTTCTTGCGGTATCTTCGGAAGCTTTCGTAGCTTTCTACAGTCTCTAGGATAGTGCTTTTGTGCTCTTCAGGTAGCACAACCTGATCCAGCTGTACCTTAGGCGTGTACAAATCCGAACCTTCCACCAGCTCATTCATCTCTGTGTCAAGGCCAACCACCCAATCCAATACGCGGCGGTCCAGTTCAACACGCTGATCCACAAGATCTCCTGCCGTCGAGTGCCAACGGCCCCGGTGAAGTTTAACGAGGCCGCGAGTGAGCAGACGGGAAGACTTGTAAAAGAAGACACGGTGCGCCACTTGCTCCTGAAAGGTATCGCAGAAAATCGATAGAATCTGGTTGATGATCACACTTTCGTCCATGCGCTGCACTGGAGACGTATCCACACCGTCAATCAGATTCTTGATAACCGGGGAAATGGTCTTACCGATAAGCATTACAATCACATTCTGCTCAAATCGATTCAGCTTGAACTTAGCAGCCAGCTCCTCCAGTCGCGGCAACGAGTGACCAGCTTGCCGTGTAAGTGCCAATCGGTGCTGAGTGCGGCGACTGTATACTCGCTGCTTAGCCTTAAGCTCTCGTCGACCAGCAGATGCTGGTGCTGACGATTCCCATGGCTGCTTTGTGCCTGCTTCCTTCATCTGGTCCTTCACGCGTGCACCAGACGCGCGAATTGCAAACGCCACAACCTGGAACCGATCCTCTAGATACTCGAGCTGATTCTCCGGGCTGTACGGCTTCAGCTCGCTCGAATCCATCAAGGAAGAGAACAAATGATGCTTCTCACTGCCGGCCTCTGCTGATTTCAGCAACAAATTTTCATCGGCCTTTGCCTGACGCCCCGCGCGCTTGCTATCATTTTTGTACTTGCCAATGAATGAAAACGCAGACGTACTGGAATCGTCACATTCTTCATTGTCTCCTATGTCACTGTCACTTGTATCGCGATGTACATCCGTCCCTTTGTTTTCCTGCTCTCCATCCACCTTCTCACCAGTGTGATCACGCTTATGTCCGCTAGCATTTGAATCCGTCGTTGTCGACGTCAAAGTAGTTGTCGTGTCCAGCATTTCTCCAAAAGACATACCTTCATCTTTAAGAAGTTCCTCCAGTGCTGTCTGACTTACTTTCAGTACCTGGTTACTAGTCAAATGTCGTCCGAGTAAGACACGCACGCATATATTCGATAACGTCAACGTCGTGCCGTACGACTCCTCATCTACAATAAGTGTGCCTTCTTTCACATGTTCGCGTTCATCATCTCGAAACTCTGCCACATCTACTTCTGACAGCCCCGAGAGTCTTTGACAAGTCATACCTCGACGTTGTATATCCTCATCCAATATCTGACAACGTACTGCATTGCTCTGACAGCCTTGTATGACCACAAGCAGCTGCAATAGTGTTGTCTCTCCAGCTGATAGTTTGTACCTTTCTGCAAGTCGGAACACTCTCGGCAGTCTTTTATCCACTTGTTTCGTAACTATCAAGCGGTATTCAGCCAGTTCATCCACGTATTTCTTCAATCTCGCCAAGAAAGTCACACGTTCTTCCATGTCTTGACGATGAGACATTGTCCTCTTTTCTCCCACCGTCTCTTCCAATGTAATTGAGTCTGGTTTCGTCACACTCATGGAAAACTCCATAAATGCCACTTCATAGAGAAAAATGACCATAAAATGCATTTCTTTAAACCAAAACCATTGAGCGTCGTCTTTCACGGGCAATTGCGTCGCATCGTGTGGATTCCGCTGGATCTCGGGCCAAAATTCAATTAATAAAGCACGTATAAAACTAAATCGACCTTTTAAATCCTTCAGAAGTGACGTATATTCCGTTTCAAGACGTTGTAACGTCGTAGAAAGTGACGGAACGTCCGTGTCTTTTGGAGAAATGGCGATACCATTTTGTTCGCATGAATTGACGGCTTTAATTGTGGGATTAGAGCTGTTTGTTGTTGGCGGTCCATTGCCACGTCTACGTTTAGCTGGTGCCATGGTAAAGATGAGGTTTAGGACGGGATAAAGAGCGAGAGAGAGAGCAAGAAGAGGCAAGATCGACGGAGTCCGTGTCGATCGCTTTGAACCAGTCGTCGTTGTCGACAAAAATACAATAAGTATGGACATGTGAGATTTAATGTATATAATTGGTAGAGGTTACTATATTTGACATGTGCATGTTAGTTTGTAATTATTATTTGAGAGGAAAAATCAAGTATGAAATATGCAAGGGTATTAGATGTATGTGGCTTTTTTTGTATGGATGTTCGGTTTTGCACCGGTATATGATGGTCTAACTACACCAGTCAGCGTTTTGACTTCCAAAAAAGGTATTGACTAGTTAAATGGTGCTGTCTTAGAAATCGTTTCTATTTTAATCGTTTCTACCCTTTATGACAAACAAAGGAAACTAAAATCGTGTTTTACCAAGTTAAAACGACGTTAAAACGACTGTTTAAACGAATACGTTCTACTGGATAAATATTGAGCGCATGAGCTCCACGAATGTGTTTTGGCTGGAACTAGCAAAAGTGTTTTAGCGCTCACATTGCCGGACGAATATGCTGCTTATGGTGATCGGCTGATCATATCCTTTGGTTCGGTTGGCTCAGCGTCAACGGATGATCCGGAGATGGTGGAAAGCTACAGCTGCCATTAGCACACACACTTGGCTGAAGAAATCAGGGTTTATATAAAGTGGACTCATGGTGGAGTGCTGTTGCGGCACCCAATTGGATCATCCTTTGGAGGGTCAACTCACAACGTCTTGAACGTTTAAAGGCTGTAGAAACTTCATAAGAACCTTTTAACAATAACGATAGGGCACTAATAATGCAAACGGAAAGAAATAATTTTAAACTTAGTTGTACGTGGGCATGGATAAATCTTGAGAGCTCACTGTAAATTGACGATCTGCATACTGCTTGGCAGTATGGGCTACTAGAACCATTCGTTAGCATAATAACGGCGGGCGTACTGTGGACAGACGTAGTCCCACATCTCGAACTCGTTGTTGTTTCGAGTCACGCCTGAGTCGTTGGAGCGATCACCTCCCTCTCTCTCGTGACCACCTCTTTCGTTATCACCCCTGTCGTTGTCATCTCTTTCGTTGTCAGCACCTTCGCTGGTGGTGTCTGTGTTGATGGGGTTGGTTGAGGCGGAAACACTCTGCAAGGATTCTTTGATTTTTGCCATTCCAATCACTTCTTTTGGGTAATGAGGGTGGGGTGACGTGAAATAGTCGCAGCAGTTAGGCACCACACAATGAAGAGGAGCTGTCGGTCGTAGCCTTGGAAGCAGAGCTTCAGTTGTCGTTGATGATGGTGATGGTCGTGACGAGTCTCCAACCATAGTTAGGGATCTGGACAGCTCGGACGGAGCATCTGTCTGGTTTGTAATCGACGTTGGGGTAAACTCAACGCATTTTGAAGAAGAGGAATCAGTCTCCGATAAACTAGAGCAGTCGTGCTGGTTCTCCTCTGTCTCTTGCGATGTTGACACCACCAAGTCGGATTCAGATGCTCGTAGAGATCCAATTAGACTACAATTTTCGTTTCCTAGTCCTCTCGTCAACCTAGTCGTTGGAATGTCAGAGCCATACTCCGATTCTGTCTGGGTCTCCGACATTCGCCAGTAATCGAGATGCGCTTCGTCCTGCTGTGGCTGCTGCTGTTTGTGTCTCTTTCCCAATTGACTCGGCTCCAAACCCAGCATTGTCAACGTTGAGCCACGCTCTGACTCTGTTTGACAACATGACGAAGTCAAACGTTCGACTTGGTCACCGTAATCGTGATCCAGGTTGGTCTTCTGGACACGTGCGCCAGTCGCTTCAATTTGTCGCTGCTTTCGTTCTACCACTTTTGTGGTCCCGGAGAGTCGGATGTTCGAGTACTTGTCAAACATGTTGTTCACAAAGCGCTGCGTCTTCCTCTTATAGAGGATACGCTGTAAGCTCAACATTGAACGCGATAAGACATATACGCTGCAACGCGACAAATACGTTCTTCCTTTCTACGCACCCACGACAACACACAAATGCTTTGTCGGGAGCAAGTGGTTCCGAAAGTACTGCAAATCAATGACCGAAAGGCCAAGCGGCAAATGCTTTTTTCTTCCAGGAAAACCCCTTGATGCTAGCGTAGCATGCACTAATAACAGTTGAATTTCACGAGCTCCTGGCGTCAAGACTGGGGGCTCCATCAATGATGAGATGATGTAGCGAAATAGTGCCAGCAACACGTTTGTTTGGCGTAACATTAGCAACGCGTGACAAGCGCGCGTTAGTTATAAATCACCGGAGAGAGTAGCTCCGAACGACCGATACCGAACGCATGACCTTTAAACATTTACTATAAAAATACGCAAGCCGCGATCTGCGAGCAAACTTTGACAACACAGCGAGAGGTGGCGGAAGAACGACGCGAGAGACGTCGTATGTACACTTCTGTTGAACAAAGTCGTGATCAAACCGTTTCTGTCATCATCGACTAGTGCATGTACGTAGTCGGGGTTCTTCACTGCGGATCCGCGCCAGATGCGCAGTGTCGACACGCGTTTTTAATGGTTGGCGACGAGTGGTTTGCACGGTGCACAACAATGACTGATGATCTCATATTGGCGCGTAGAACGGCAAAAAGAAGGTAATCATCACCTTGGAGATGCCAAACAAGGACCAAAAACATCTTAACATGAATGCAGAATGGGTCCTGAGGCACGGATCTACACTGAGACTCGCAACAGCAGCAATTTCTTGAAACGTGTGCGGCTTCTTTCTTGGCATTATTCAATTCATAACGCAGGTTGAGGACCTAGCAGTGGTCTTTATGTGGACCTGAAAACAACATTTTACGTACTATTACTTTCTTATAACGAGAAAGGCCGCATGCCTTGCACTATTCACTTTCCAACTCGGTATTGGCCCCTTAGATTGATCAAATTTGTTCTTCGCTCTTTGAAAGCTAGCATGGTAGTGCTTGATGTTTATCTTCACTTTGCACACACACACACTTCTAATCTTGTCCTTTTTCTCTTACTACAGATGCTCACTGCCATCAAAGACGCTGGTATCAAGGTGCGCAAATGCTTTCGGAACCCCAAGATGATCATCACATACCTTTGGTTTAGCACCATGTTATTCGGCTTCATGTATGCAATTGCTGCGATTGTGGCGGCTGTCAATAATGACGGCAAAGGCGAGAGTGATTCGAAGTCGTTGGGCTTCGTAGGCGTCTGGGCTATGATTTTAATTGTCGCTCTTTCAGTGGGAGGCACAATGGTCATGCGTAATCACCGAACGCCACTGGCTGTAGGCTTTCTCATTGGCGTCGTGTTGATGATGTCACTGCAGATGTTTTCACTGTCAATCATCTTTGCGGGTGCCGCCTACTTGGCTCGCATCGAGCGTGATAAGGGCGACAAACACACCAACGTACACTCAAACGATGCTGGCTCGGTCTTTTCCTTCTTCATGTTTATTCTCTACGTAAGTGTGTCTGTCATTGCAATGCCAACACACCCATCGATGCTCTACTAACTTTTGACTTTCTCTTGCAGGCTTTTTTCACTATTGTATTGGTGCGATACCGCAATATCGTCATCAAAGAAGGTGTAAACTTGGACCCAAACGCTATCAACGACATTGACAAGAACTTGGCGAGAACGGCTGCATCTCCACGTGTCATCTACAAAGACGTAAGCATTCCTGGCTCACTCACCCCATCCGTCAGCGTTTAAGCGCACATTTGCCAGCATATTATATGTGTCAACTCAGTATCAAAGATAGTAATCAACAAGCTCTTTCAATTGAAATCGAATCTATGAACCTCGGCTATTTCTTCTACCTTTACTCGATAACAATATGCACATATTCCTCTAGCTTCTAATTGATTCAACTCTACGATAGCGACGGCATCAGCTTAAGGCTAGACCGTGTCCGTGCTTTACAAGGGCGGGCACGTTTCCCGACGGAAAACCGTTCGACTCGAACCAAGATCGTGAACATCCGTTCCAGTTCAAAGCTAGGCGTCGGTGAGGTGATCTGCGGCTAGGAAGAAGGAGCAGCCATGATGAGCAAGGGCCAGATTGACAAGTTCACGCTGTCTCACGAGTACGCGTACGGTGAACGGAGAAATGCACCTGTGCTCATCTTCGAAGTGGAGCTGCTGTCCTTCAAGTAGACGGCTCACGCTCTTTTTTGATGAGTCTTTGGAAAGTCATACATGTTAAAGGGATGTAGAGAAGTAGCTGCTAGCTGTAAACAAGAGCTTAAGAGCACAAATACGACGATGACAAGCACGTCTTCATGAACATTATTAGTTTTGGTGACGTGGCTGCTACTTCATGGGGGTTGACAAGGTTGACTCGATTTAAAAGTCTCAGCAACCTCGTAACAGTAGTGTCAGTCTGAGGAGATCATGACTGACACTATCGTCACGAGGTTGCTGAGACTTTAAGTCATAGTGAGTCCATCAACGGCAGCGATGCTGCATCGAGATGCCACGTGGAACATGACGGTGCCTTCATTTTTCACTGCCAATTCATTTTACTAGACTGTGTTGACGTCACTTCGGATGTGCCGGCTATAGTTAAAAAGCTCGGGTGTAGCATGTCACCGAGCACGATTTCTATGGAATTATAAGCATCCCATTCGAGAGCTTTCAGACCACTTTCATTTGACGATACTTTTTGTCGCCAACATGGCTACACTTTACGTGTTAGACCAATTTATCGTCCAGTCAATCTTGTAACAATGGACTTTTGCCAACTGCTGCGTGAGGAACGACAACGAGCACGTGAAGTTGCACAAACCAAGTCTCCAATAATTCTTGAATCAAAATTAGCCGAGAAAAAGACAAAAGATGAGCAAGAGATTCCATCTTTACTGCAAAATGCGTCCTTAAAAGTCTGGACGAAAAGGTAAAAGGTTAGAAATACCTTTTCGTCTTGCAAGAAAAAAGTATTGAGCTTTTGTCCGCATGTGCAGGTCAAAGATTGACATTGAAAAGTTTGTCAAAGGTTCAATTCCTGGAGTTTATTACATTCCTAATTGGATCACGCAGGACGAAGAAGCGGCCATTTTGGAACGGGTATATGCAATCCCGAATGAAAATGACAAGTGGGTGAAGCTCAAGCATCGTCGTCTACAAATGTGGGGAGGAGAAGTCAAGATCCCGTTCAATTCTGAACCATTGCCTCAATGGTTGATGCAAATCAGCCATACGTTGGTCGATATGGGGGTCTTTACTGAAGAGAAGAAGCCAAATCATGCATTGATAAATGGTGAGGCACTTGAAGTGTTGAAAACACGAAGCTTTGATTAATGGGTGTTTTACAACTACTACTGATGCCTAGAATACGGCGTGGGGGATAGCATTATGCCACATGAAGACGGACCTGCGTACTTTCCTCTCGTGTCTATTATCAACACGGGCGCTGAATGCCGTGTGACGTTCGAGCGGCATCGTGAAGCTGACATTCTGACCGAAACACAGTCGGCGACGCAAAACGACAATGTTCGACACTTCGACTTTCAGTTGGAACGTTGCAGTCTATTGCTGTTTACAGGAGAAGCCTACACGCGCTACCTGCATAGTATCGACAACGTTGAAGTAGGCACGCGCATTTCACTGACAATTCGCCACGTTGATCTCCACTAATCTTGACTACGTGAAGAAGAGGCGATTGATGAGGGCATCTCGTGTTCGTTTGCAGTCGATGAAGGAAGCATGTTGACCAGTGAAAGCGTTTTGAAGGCGATAATGCGCGAGTCAACTTGAGATCGTTTTGTTCGACTCTTGCTTACGCCTAGTTTGCTTGCATTTATAGTGTGGTGTGCTATCGCTGAAACCTTTTTTGATCCCAACTTTTCATTCAGTTCTCACCGTTCAAATTGTGCGTGAAGTGCAGGAGAAAAACTTTCGAGTGACCATGGTCCAAGCTTTCTCGTTATCGAGTTCAATTAAAAAATTAGTTTATGGCGAAGGACTATAGCTACTACTGGGTAAGGATACGGGGCGAAAATTAGCGCCGGGGTGCATATGCAGCTGATGTGCTTGCGTTACTTACATCACTTACAAAATGCTCGTAAGCACTAGTACTTACGATGGACATTAATTCTCCGTCAATGACATGTCTGCATATTGCGCACGATATCGAAGCGACAAGATGAGTAAACTCGACCAGCTTTCTCGTTTAATGGACCGGGCAACACGCGCTTCAACGGATCTACACGCAGGCCCCCTGATCGCAATTTATAATTGGAACGACTGAATATCTGGCCATTTTGCAAACGAACTAGCAATGTATTGATCAATGTCGCCCTAAGTGCACACTACTGAAGTAGCTACACTAGCACTCCTGTAGCGGTTTACATTATCGGCAGGAATAGCGGCTCTTCCTGGACGAAAGGCAGCTCGGCAATCTTCTTGCACATCAAGCGTACCTTGGACAACACCGACGTATCCGTGGTGACGACAAACTGCACCTTGGCACGATCGACGATTGGCGCCTGCAGGATCGAGTAGATGGACACACCGCTCTCCTCAGCGATCTGACCCACGTGGCGAATAACGCCCAAGCCATCCTTAATTGTAATACGCACGTAAAAGTGCGCCTCGTAGTCAGTTTGCAGTATTAGCGGCACTGATTCTTTGAACGGGTAAAGTGGGGCGTCACCGCGCGCCAATTGAATAATGTCATTCATGACCGAGTTAGCTGTTGGGAAACGTCCAGCACCCGGACCGACGTATGCGCTGCTGTCCAGATTATCCGAGCGTACATTCACCAAATTTGTCGCTCCACTGATGCTCGCAATGACGTTGTTACGATTAATAACAACAGGCGACACGTAAACTGCCACTTGCTGAGGTGTTTTTGTCTTTTCATCAGCAGGTTTCAACAAGTTGGCAACACCCAGCAACTTGATCGTACTGTCCATCATCTTGGCATACTCAAAGTCAGCAGAAGTGATGCGTGAGATACCTACAGTCGGGACATCCCCCGGTTTCACAACACCACCAAAGCCCAACTTTGCCAAGATGGAAATCTTGCTTTGAACATCGTAGCCATCTACATCAGCACTAGGATTAGCTTCAGCATATCCTAAATCCTGTGCCTCCTTAAGTACGACATCGTATGCCACACCTTCAGTCTCCATTTTCGACAACATGTAATTGGTAGTACCATTCATAATACCTGCAATTTCTGTGATAGTGTCACTATTGTATGCATCCTGCAATGTGTGGATGATGGGAATTCCACCGGCTACTGCCGCTTCATAACCAAAGCGAACATCCGGGTGATCTTGTAACAATTGGACGATTTCGGGCATAAAATTCGCCACAAGTGCCTTATTGGCTGTGATCACGTGTTTCCCGGCCTTAATGGCACCAAAAACCACGTGTTTTGCATCCTCAATGCCGCCCATGAGCTCTACAATGCAGTTAATGTCTTGATCGTCAAGAATATCACTGTAATTGCTTGTAAACTTGGTCTCCGAAGCCGAGAAGTGACTCAATTGCCGATCTTTGCTCATGTTCTGGACACAGATCTTGGACACGAGCGCCTTTACGCCCATTCGTTGGAATGTTTGACGTCGTGAGGGGCTATGAAGGAGGTCAAAGACACCGCCACCTACGGTGCCACAGCCGAAAAGACCGATGTTAAGAGTTACACGTGTCATAATGAGGAGAAGAGAGAGACGAAAATTGACAAGTGCGTAGCTGGTGGAAGATTTGATACTGACGTATACTTGTTTCGTCAAAAAAGCTGGAGTTGCGCGTGTTTTGTGCAAGTAGAGAATACTACACCTACATTTGGCTCAAAGGATTAATACAGTACGAAAAAGTAGTCATCCACTTGTTTCTGAGAAAATATATAAAACGTTTTACAATACTCTAGTTTTGAGCGCGTTTAAAACTGCGTACTTACTGTACATGTATTAAGTCCGCTGATGACAGCGTGAATGTGATGTGATGACTGAGCTCCTGGATTCCAGAGAATCGTACAAGCGACGACCAGTTTAAGAAACACCGAGTAGGACACCTCCATTCCTACTACTCGATACTTGTGGGATGGTAGGATTAATAGCCAATTAAACTCACAGCAACCAAGCCAAGGAAGTCCGTGTCCTAGTGGAGGACTCCGTCACTAACACGGACGATTCAAGTACTAATGAACGCTTTAGGATGCTAAGACGACCGTGCGATAGCAGCCGACATCTCTAGACTCTCATTCCGCAGTCATTTTCGTACGACGAGTATCACAGGGTATCGTAAACCCAGCGCGGCGGGCGAGATGGGATCAGCAAACCCGACAAAGACAAAAAGCTATCGCTCGGCTAGGATCCTACCATCAATTAGAAGGTAGGATGAGTCGTTTGTCTTCAAGTCAGAAGGATTTTCGTCCCCTAACTTGCTGACAGCCGCAGGTGGTCAATTGCCTTGAATGCTATCGTCGATCTTAATTGTACAAAGCAAACTACTATTGTCACGCCCTCCTACTATCGTGGTCACAAAAATACTTGCGATTGTGTGGATAACACGGTGATGCGGTGGGTGGTGAGCCAAAGCCCGAGGGCTGCGATGTGGATATCGGATGTTCTTGCCTGGCTCACGACTAGCGGATATTGAAATTCCAAGAGCTTACACCACAGAAGACGTATGTGTCGTATGGCTTCCAGCTGACTACAATGGCATTTCATGTTCATCAGGTCTGGCCGATCTAGAGCTTGTAAGCCGGTACTGCTTTGGGTTATAGATGGCCTTAGACATTCCTTTTTCTCCATCATATCTAGAATACGTACGCTGCAACTGGTGAAAATATACAGGAATGCATACGGTGTTCGTGTAAACCAGTCGTAATATCCACCAAAACGAGCATTAAAATGCACGACAAAGTTGTCGATTACTCGGGATATTTGCGGGGTATGCACTCTGTTGGGCGATCTCTATTCTACAGACACGCTACGAGAGGAGAAACATTCGCTGAAGAACAGTACGTAGCTCGAGGAGCGACGTGTCGTAGACTTGAGCAACGATGCGCAAGGTTTCACGTCTAGGAAATACATTATACACAGCACATGTAAGTAGTTGCTCCACTGCAACAAGAACGTCATCATGGGAGGCACTCAGAGTCACTGGTGTTTCATCCACTTGTTTCTTCGTAGACAACGTCTACAACTGCCGGATTACGTCAATGCCAAGTGCATTGAGTAGGTCGTTCTTTGTCGTCGTCGACATTCATTCACGATCATCTCATCCAATGCACCCATCGGCTCGATCGATCCTGCAGCAGAATGGATAAATGAATGCAACTTTAGTTTCTTGTCGCCCGTCACCCATTTAGAACCAAAGGCTTGGTCTCAAGTTTCGGCTTCCCAAAAGCTGCTTTAGCTGCTGCGAGCAGCATATGATGTGTAACAGTGGTCGGGCAAACTGCAGTATCCAGGCACGAACTCGCTGGCTGACCGGTATCCGTGGCCGTTTGCGTTGCGCTTCTTTATCAGACCCAGTTGTCTTCGGCAAGTTCGAAAACGTAAAAAGGCTTGTGCTTGACAAAGCTTCATGAAGCATCCGGACCAGATCCTCGACATACCTTCTGTCACGTTAACCATACTAAAAGCAGACAGCACGGCGTTCAAAGCCACGATGGTCTAGCAGCAAGCCATGCAGCTCCCGCGTAGCCAGGGTTTCGTGGAGATCCTTGTGATTTGAGGACCATTGGAGCAAACAGTGAGACTGGACTCAGACATGGGCTACCTAGTCAGAAGTTAAGCCTGAAGTGATATCTACTTCAGCATTTAAGCCAGGACGAGCTAGCTCAAATGTATGTTCGTATTATTGTTGCGGTAGGAAGCCTCTCTTACGCTAAATCTGACATGCATTCACGAGTCTACTACAATCGACGTCATAAACTCATACAAATTGGATTCTGATATGAAGCTAAAGCTTTTCGCTGTTTGTTTACGAAACGGATGGGCCGGGGGTTTCTGCCAGAAACCCCCAACGTCAGACTTGAACAGAAAGTTTCTGGTCACGTCTGACGTTACAAGGCTATCCAAACAAAGCGACGATTACGGAGCGATCTAACAGCACTGACCTACGCCGTAAGCCTCCCTGTCATAGGAGAGATGGCGAAGGTTTGATTTGAAAGTCTTACTAGATTTGTCTCTGTGCAATACCAGTCGAAGCTCAAGGCGCTATGGTTTCTGCTGTATAAGATTGGCCTATCCAACTTCACAACCAAAAACAAAAACATTATTGTTGGCGCTACCTGTATGCGTGTTATGAGCAACTCCATCCTAAAGCAGTTTCATGCACCCGTCTCACATGCCATTATAACGATTGTGGGACCGTAGTGCTCCAAAAGTCGTCAACCTTGGCAAAGTTTACAGCAGATCATCTGCAATCATCACGACTCTTTGATTCACGAGAAGCGTAAGAAAACTGCTACAAATATACGACCATGGGTACCAAGGTCAGCACTAATCACAATCTTGCACTAGTTGTCGCCTGATATACGGAGCGTATAGGTAACAATCTTTCTGAGTTCGTACTTACTCAAAATAAAACGACACATCGTGGATCACATTAGATACAATTTTCGCAGAGCCTACCCGAATTCCAGGAACATTCTTTATTCCATATTGCTTCGAGAAGACTGGCTGTAAACTCGAACACGCAGCCATATTGGAATGCGAAAATCGTCTAATGCTAAATCGATTTGCTAGCAGAGCACGCTTTGCACAAGGCCCATAATCTGCAATTGGAAACGTAGCTCCCGCTGCAGCCGCTCTCCCAGATGCCGCATACAGATGGGAGGGACCATACTTTCGCCCCTCTCAGGCGTGCCGCGGTCAGGTTGCGCTTACCAGCACCAGCTATGGATACCGACACATACTGGCGCATACTGGCGCATATTAGCACGCCATGCCGTAGTTTTCGTCAATACATGCACCGTCAGTTTGCAGCAAAAAATAGTAAACGTGCAGAGGAACTTTGTCACCGTGGTCTAAGAAAAACTTGCGGGCACAGTCTATCAGCGGTAAGCTCTATTCGGTGTTATGGTATCTTGCTGCTCAATGCCTCAAAAGAAACGTTGGCAAATGCGGCCGTGGCACTTGTACGTAATACATGGGTTCACACCCGCCTAGCGACGCTAAAGTTGTTTATGGTTTCTGGGAGCTGAGCCGTTTTTTTTATCGGCGTTTTTTCTACACCGGGCTAGGTGACAAAAATGAACTTTGTCTCGTGCGCTGATTGGTAGGCATTTGGACCGTTTGCCATAGTGAACTCAAGTGTTTGATACTGAAGACAAGTCACGGAAGAAGGCAGCAGCAGTTGTGTAGCGATAGGCCCAGTCAAAAGAGCATTCCCGCCCTTCGTTTCGGCATAAGGCCAGGCAGCTCCATTGCTTGTAATATGTTCATTTACCGAAACTCCGCCTCGCCGTCAGATCTCCTCATACACTTCATTTCCATTTGCAATGAAGAACGGAGTCTGCACACTGAGCGCGACGGTACTGGAGGCGCATGCGCTGGGGAACACCAAGATGTTTGACGTTAGGGTCGTCTGTATGGGCAAGAGGACGTCGGTCTACAAGAGCAAGGAGGATTTTAAGAGTGTACTGAATATGTTTCGCCTTGTGGGTGCCATGAGTCGTGGCAAGAGCGACCGTTGCGAAGTCTGTGTCGCCTGCAGCGCCATGAGCCCCCTGCGCATATGTGACGAGGACTCGCTCGACACGTTTCTGTCCAACGTGCTGGCTAAATTGCGAAAGGCTGAGCCTGACGCCATTGAACAATGCAGTACGCACCGTGGCGTTGTGCAGATTCTCATGAATTTTCTGAACGTGCGCAATGGCAAGTACTTTTGCGAGCTGACACCTGAAATGGAAAAAGAGCTGTCGCCTACGAACCACCAGCTACAGGACAAGTTGGATTTGGATCATCCGGTTTCCCGGTGCTCACTAAACCGAACGTTGTCGGAGCAGTTTGCGGCTAGGGACTCGGTGTGCTAGCAATGCTAGTGCTCTATAGTCAGTCAGTCACATTAGCACATACGCAAGCTACGATATGAACGCAAACAAGGATGCCAAAGTGATCCAAGAGCTTCTGTCCGTCAAGCAGGATTGTAGATATTCTCAGACATACAGAAAGGTCTTTCATCTTCTCTCTAGAGAAGTCGATGGAAGCCGACATGCGTACAATAACAGACTAATATAAGAGCTTCATATTGCAGAATAGTAACGTCGACATGCAGACTACTTTGGTGGCGTTTCATTCGCATACAAGCGTGCACAGTTCACTTTCTTGTCTCCACGCAAGGACCTTAGTCTCTCTTCCTACGACTTCAACTCGAGTTGCGACAAGATTGTTGACGCCAATCGAGCTAGCGATTCTGAGCCTGGTTTTCTATCGTGCGTGCCTTCGCAGAACGTATTGCTGCCAAGGCTTTATTACAACGTACAACATGCTGAAATGCCGTCAGGACGAGGATATTCACTAATACGATGTGCTGCTGCGGCCACTTCCTGCTGCTTTTTCTCCACTGCCTCATTTCGAATAGTCTTTCAGCATCTCGTCGCTCTTTCACCAGTGCGTGCATCATACCCATAGTGTTGCGGCGACGTGGCTGCAGTTCAGCCTTGGTGACACGGAGCTTCTTCCGTCTGGACCTGCATCCTGGCTACGCGGATACGGTGCAGCGCTCAGCCTCTGTATTGGCGCCCATGAGCTCTGTTAGAGGAACGTTATAGCAACTGCTGCGACGCTGCACAGCCAGAGCTGCCTCACACCAGTCCGTCCAGAGCTCGGTCCGACGTATCCACGCACCTCATCTGTCTCAGGGTCTGCATAGAAGGCCAAGCCTACCACAATCACAGCGCCTCCAAAATGGATCGTACCTCGCGCAAACTAAAGGATGATGCCGATGTCCTCTTTAGACCGATAGAAAGACACCTCAACAGAGTTAAGATGCGCTAGCGCAAGTGCGTATACCGAAACGGAATATGAAGTCGAGCAAGAGACTTTCCATGCCAAGAAAAAACTGCAGCTAAATCAGTGGCAACATACTCATTAACTCGGCTGTGTGTCTCGCCACCGCGTGGCCGTTTCGTGAGCCTGTACGACGCCAGAGCATTGGCCGCTTGTTGCGGCCAATGCTATTCTACATCGCAAAGGCGATAAGGTTCAGGATCCCAGTCTGCACGATGATCTTGCTACTGGAGAGTAGCACGAACTACTAGAGGACGAATTGCCCACCAGCCATATCATTACCGTCGTATTCTCAAGGGAACAAGCTCTTCCAAGCACGTGTTCTATGATATTAATCCCATAAAACACGTGGTTAGAGGAACCTGTCATGAATGGGAGTTGATACATTAACTAACTAACTAACAACCAACGTGCGTTGTCGCACCAATACACATCTGCAATTACAGCTCGTTGTGTCAATAGGTCTCGCACATGCCACCTCTTCCAGTAAGACGTCCAGGCGTAACAACGTCTGAATCAGAAGAATCAGAAGAATCAGAAAAAATAGCAATTTGTTGTAAAAATCATCATAATTTTGGCGTTTATATCATTTTATCTAATGATACAAGTGTTTTATCTAATAGGTTTAATTTATACTCGTCGTCTGTGAGATCGGTTGCTAATAGCCGGTCTCCGTATGGGCATGAAGAAGTCGGAGTAGCTTGCATCCGCCTGGTGAACTGGATTCATGATGAGTTAAATTTAAAAAAAAACAGATTTTTTAGTGAAATGAAGTAAAGTAGACGATTACGGAATCAAAACAGCTAGAGATCTTGATTATGGCCATCTGAAGTAGTATAAAGTCAGAAGAATCAGAGATAAATCCCATAAAACATACATGGGTGTAAGAAAGTGGGTGCTAAAAAAGCGACTGTAATTCGGCGAGCTTCCTGTCGAGCAAAACTGCACTGTAACGCGTAGTTTTCTACAAGAGGTTAGTATCGTCGAGCGGGGATAAGATCGTTGTCATTTTTGGCGACTATAATGAACTGAACGTCGACCAATTTGAGCGATATGGTGTCAACACAGCAAAGATTGTTCCATGCCGAAGCCTTTGTATGTGCCCCCAATCACAACAGAAGCTGGGACGAATAAAGAATCTGTCGCCATTGCTGGCTTGTTACAAGTTTATCGAACTGTATACAGCTTCAGTGTTGACTGTAGGGAAGGCCAAACGTGCATACTGTTTTATACGGGCAATAGCACGTACATACCTGTACGCAACAACTGCTTCATGCAAAATATCTACGCCAGGTGGCGAGAGTCAGGACAAGCATGGCGACGTACCTGCTACTGATCCTGTTAGAGAAAACCTGATTACAGATGGCGTATGAAGTCGAAGCCTAGAGTTTGTCGCACTACGTTTGTTCACCTTGGTACCACCTGCATTGTGCAAAGGCTTTGGGAAACACCGTCACCTGATAAATCCTGCCAAAAGTGTCTTCGCCGGACGTGTTGGGGTTAGTCTCATTGAAGGAGCGGTAAACCGCATTGCCAACATGCATCAGCCAGACACAGAGTCTGTCAGGCAAGACAGCTGGGCAGAGATGGGGCTAGAAGTGCAACCGAACTGGAGTACGAAGTATTGCTGCACAATGTCACTAGATTCACGGACATTGGACGGCTAAGTGCGTACTTTCAGGAGCATATTGCGGCGGAATACGAGCTGGAAGACATGGACACTTACACACCCGACTCCCGGACCTCCAACGTTTGGAAATTAACGGTGAGGATGGCTAGATGCCCTAAATTCTTGCGAGGGATCGTACGCATTATATGGAACGGACAGACTATTATTCTAAAGCATCCGGACGTTGGCCGCAGACTTCAATGTTGGCGCTGTGGAAATCTTGGTCATACAGAGGCAAGGTGTCGCTATACCGAGGCACAACTGCACGGGCCGGGTAGCAGAGTGGCTACAGAGCAAGAAATCGCCGGAATAGAAGACTTGGCCAAACCGTTTACAAGCTTTGAGGAGATGAAACAAGTGGTGGCAAAGCGACTCCTACTTCAGTAAGAAAACGAGAGGAAGGCGCAGGTGATGGTGGCAATCCTCCGCGAATTGATTGCATCCACTGAAGAAGGCAAGACAGGTAAGCACGGCCGGAGCCACGTCGGCCTGAGGGGGCGACCAACAGCCTTTTCAGGATGATCAACATGTGGATCGATAGGCGATGCCGCTAATGAATGTCGCTCTCGTTCGACTAGGTCAATATCTATCATTTTAGAATATGTTTAAATATTTTGAAAATAGTCTGTCGCTTTCGCTCGCTCTTTCTAAGGCAAAGCTTTCCTGGCATGGTGGTTTATTAGTCGCGCTTTTACAGTTTGCTACTCCAAGTCTTCTTCCGTGCAGCTTCACCTTCGTTCCGTTCTGAACTGGATAAATGTCTTCATCTGTATCTTAGTCTTAAATTACCCAGCGTAACACCATATGACTTCGAGTCAAGCTTAAACTATTGTTTCTTTCGGCACATTCACGTACGCGTGGCAACCAAACACCTTCTTTTCTCCAATGGAAATGATTGGTTGCCATGCGTAAGTACTGACTAAACGGGTTTTTAAGGGCGACAGGAATATATTTGTCGGCATAATTATTCGTATACTTATGCAAATAATTCGCCAGACCGAACCATTGACGTAGTTCGGTCGGGTTCCTGGGCGTTGGCCAGAAATAGATCGACTAGACCTTCTCTGTAGCGGAGCTGCAAAGCTCTTTAGCCAGAGGAAGACTTTCGGCTGGAAGCCTCTTAGTTCGAGAGAACTAAATAGAGTTAAGGCTAAAAGCCACTTAGTTCTAAGGAACTAAGTATTCGACGTTAAAGTCACCCTCTTCTAAGGAAGTAGGAGGGACTCTTAGTCAGCAAGCAATAAGCTTAAGGTTCAGAGAACCAACGCACAGAGTGCAAGAGCAAGCTAGAAGCTTAGGGTATAGAGAACCAACGCACGAAGTGCACAAGAGAACAAGTCAGAACGACTTGCGATCTTAAACTCAAAAGGAGAACTGATTTTATCTATGCTTTAAGATATTATGAATAGTCCTACTTTAAGTACACTACACTAGATTAATTACTATAATAGTAATTATTATATGCAGACCTTGCTATTGGACGACGTATCGTCTAAACATCTGTGTATGATGTACTTAATACAGCGTTAGTGATTTATCGAATCCCAATCGATAAGATACGGTATTACCGAATACCGTATCTTAACGCTCATACTTAATACCTCTCTAACGAGAAGTATAATAATGCATTATATGCAATACAAAGGAGAGTTTAAGCGTAAACTCTCGGAAAGACGTTACAACCGTCGTGTAACCCCGTTACACCCTCCCCCACCAGACTGACGTTCCCATAGAATGTCACTCGACATCTTTCCTCATAGAGGTAGTGCTTTAGCGAACTCTTAAAACCTCACGGTTTGTTCACGGCACACAACATGACGCCTTCGGCAGTGAGTCACAGACTCTTAGGGACCTCATTGAGGACGACCTTGACGAAGCGGTTGATTACGAAAGTGACACCGTCTTGTTGGGACCCGATGGGTTCCCTTTAGCCACCCTCACGGGTGAAGATGACACTCGTCATGCACCGAATCCGTTCCCTGAACGTGGTGCAGCAGATGCGCTAACAGCGTTACGTGACCCGTCAATGGTTCGGTCGGGTTCCTGGGCGTTGGCCAGGAATAGATCGACGAGACCTTCTCAGGATCAGCGCGAACACCTTCCTTTCTGACATAGCACCTTTAGTACTGGTATCCCAGGAGCGCAATAGACACATTTCTTGAAATTTGCGTACAATTTGTTCTCGCGCATCACTTGAAAAGTGTCGAAGGTGTAGCTGAGCTGTTACTCAGCGCGGCTGTAAGCAAACTTGTCATCAAAATAATTCGGTGCGAAGGCGCGAAGCGGACGAAGTACCTGTGTCACCATCCGATTAAACGTAGCTGGAGCATTCTTAAGGCCTTTTGGCATGGCTAG